CCTGACGTATGATTTTTGACGGATGCGCCGTCACGGCCGGACTGACATTCGACCGTCCTCGGGCGGTTCTCGGATCAATGAACTACAGTTGTGTCTATTCCGTTCGGCATCCTGACAAACGACTAGTTACAATCATCAAAATGTGCTATGGTACTTAAGACTTAAGGCGAGCATCTCGTAGCAATTAAGCCAGACGACAACATTCATCTCACCACAATGTTCAAAGCATCCAGAACAAGTCAACCAACTTAAAGGGCTCTGACCCGGACGACCACATTCGTCTTGCCACAATGTTCAAAGCATCCAGAACAAGTCAACCAACTTAAAGGGCTCTGACCCGGACGACTACATTCGTCTTGCCACAATGTTCAAAGCATCCAGAACAAGTCAGCCAACTTAAAGGGCTCTGACTCGGACGACTACGTTCGTCTTACCAGAACAAGTCAGCCAACTTAAATGGCTCTAACTCGGACGACTACATTCGTCTTACCAGAACAAGTCAGCCAACTTAAATGGCTCCTGACTCGGACGACTACGTTCGTCTTACCAGAACAAGTCAGCCAACTTAAATGGCTCCTGACTCGGACGACTACGTTCGTCTTACCAGAACAAGTCAGCCAACTTAAATGGCTCCTGACTCGGACGACTACGTTCGTCTTACCAGAACAAGTCAGCCAACTTAAATGGCTCCTGACTCGGACGACTACATTCGTCTTACCAGAACAAGTCAGCCAACTTAAATAGCTCCTGACTCGGACGACTACATTCGTCTTACCAGAACAAGTCAGCCAACTTAAATGGCTCCTGACTCGGACGACTACATTCGTCTTACCAGAACAAGTCAGCCAACTTAAATGGCTCTGACTCGGACGACTTCATTCGTCTTACCAGAACAAGTCAGCCAACTTAAATGGCTCTGACTCGGACGACAATATTCGTCTTACCAGAACAAGTCAGCCAACTTAAATGGCTCTGACTCGGACGACAATATTCGTCTCACCAGAACAAGTCAGCCAACTTAAATGGCTCTGACCTGGACGACAATATTCGTCTGACCACAATCTGCAGAGCATCCAGAACAACTCAGCCAAACGAATGAACGATGATCGAGACTCCAATGAGCTAGCCCCATCATCTCCACTACTTATACTCATGTGAGTGAACGATGACCCGGACATAGACTCCACAGAGCTAGCCCGTCCATCTTCACAACCTGATCAAGCGTCGACCGGACGTGGACTCCATCGAGCCAGCCCCTGCACGCTTTGATCCATCACTACTAGAAACATCGGCCGCATCAGCCAGTTCCATCGCCACCTCAAACACACCAACTCAAACTTACACAACTCATTTATGGTTTATCAATGTTGGAGGCCATCAGAGCTACTCAGCTACTCACTTTCATCATCTGACATAGCTTCGTTTCCATTCTCTCCACTCCATGACCCGCCGTCTCGGCCTCCTCATTACTTAGTTCAGTGGATATGTCAACTAACCCTTCAAAGCCTCTGGGTACTGCGCCCAAGTTTTCATGAGAGTATTTTAAAGTGCAATTAGATTCATCGGTATGTTTCAGTTCGTACCTATCGTTGTCTAGAATTTTAGTTATGATAAAAGGTCCCCTAAACTTTCTTTGCAGTTTAGTTTGGTAACATTCGCTACACTTAACAAAAACGTAATCTCCCCGAGAAAGAAAAAAAAGGTTTTACTTGGGCTTTGCCTTTACTAAATTTAACTACTTCCTTTTGATTTGCGTTTTCAGTGTTGAGGGAAGTTTTATTCCGGATATTGTCTAAATCTAATCTCGGCTCGTTTGAATTTTGGGCTATTAATGATATCCCTAAAGATTGCGCGCGAATGCCAAACATTAGTTCTGTTGGAGTATATCCTGTAACACTACGGCTTGTGTTATTAAGTGCTAGATGACTCTCCCAGATCAGAGTAATTTAGTAAGATGGGGTAAAGGTACCGAAAACACTTGCTATATCTGCGGAAAGGCAGTTGGAACTGCTAAGCATTTGCTAGTGAGATGTAAGGTTCTCCTGGACAGCGGTCAATTCTCGCGTCGTCACTATAGGGTTTTAGAGATCATACTTGAAGCGGTTAGTCTTTCGGTAGCCAGAGCGCAAAGGGAAATAACCACAAACGAGCGATCAATAGGTTTTGTGAGAGAGAGCACCAGGGCTATAAAATCAAACGTCAAGCCTTACTCTATCCTTAAAGCGGCTTCGGATTGGACTATCATGATGGATACGTATGAGAAACAACACAAAATCCCCGAGGATATTTGTGCGTCAGCCTCCAGACCAGACATATTTCTATATTCGCGTATTTTAAAGCGCGTTGTGATGATAGAGCCTACGGTGCCTTGGGAAACCAACATCCCCAAAGACCATGCCATCAAGGTCATTAAGTATTACGAGCTCACTAACGAACTAACTCGAAATAGGTTCGTCCGCGGTAGAGGTGGGAGCGAGAGGCATAACAGCCAAATCTCTCTACAACCTACTAAAAGACTTGGGCCCGTCCAGAACCAACATTAATTCATTCTCGGAACGTACGTCGAAAGCAGCCCTAGCAGGTTCCTTCCAAATTTGGCTAGGTAGGGAGAGGAACTTGGACAGTGGAGGTGAGCGTACAACGTGCGTTAGTTAAGGGGCCCCTTAAACCCACACCTGGGTCGCAAGTCCCAGGCACTGCTGAAGCTCCCCTCCCTGCAACGCGATGGACCCGGCACCCGCACGGTGAATCCATTGAATGCTAAGCGGTTTCGTCCCTTGTACCTCAGGAAGTTTGTCACGCCACGTTTTATGGGTATCGTTTTCTATAATAGTTAGCAGACATTTTAAAATCTGCATGACCCTTTCTACTTGACCGTTGGCTTTATTTGCCCCTGTTGTTATAAAGTAAAGTTCTATACGAGGTGTTTTACTCAATTCTCTAAAGTCCGCGCTTACAAAGCCCCTTCCCCGATATAACAATTCGCTTGAGAACACCGAAAAGAGAAACAGCTTTTCTCAACGCTTTAATAGTACAACTGGCATCGAGGGATAGAGTATGCTCTTAAAGGACATACTTGATAACATAATCAATCATTACTGACGCGTATTTCTTTTCTGTCGCTTTTGCCACTTAATGTCCCAGTCACATCTATGTGAATAGTATGCCAATAAAATGTATGCAAATCCGTAGGAGAATTTACATGGCCAAAATAGCAATAACCCCACTGAATAAAATTTGGAGAGATAGGAAAATTATTAATGGAACAAAAATGCATCTGATACGAACGCTTGCCTTCTCTATATTTCTATCTATCTAGCTATCCGATTCTGTATAGTGCAAAGACGTGGACTATGAAAGTCGTTGACAGGCAAAGAATTGATGCCTTAGGAATGTGGTGATGACGAAGTATGTTACGCATACCTCAAAATATGGTCAGCGCTTATCTAATATCTATTTGCAGCACATACTGGCGTTGATTGGTCAGTTTCCTGACAGAACTACGGACAGCTTTAAACGTCCGCTAGTGATTGAAAAAGTGGACGGTAACCGAACTAGAGGACTAAATCCCAAAAGGTGACTGGACCAAATCCCAGAACACCTAAAAATACCTGCCTGCGTTGCACTCCATCAAGAAACTAAACGTGTCTATCTCAGTATGGATATGGTTGATTTAAGTCCATACAAGGGACTGATGGACGATAGGTTACCAACGACTAACTTTGTTTCGCTCAATTTTTTTTCGATATAGCATATTGTTTCTAACATCGTAGATGTGACTAATTGAATCGGGAAACTTATTATTTAAGAGCTGAGCAACAATATCTTGAACATATGCATCACGTTTTTGTTCTACCGCTAACCACCCTTGATTTACCTCTACAAACTGCACAGACTTATTAACTACTTGAGCCTTGCTTTTGTCGCTCTTGGAAGTGCCCTGCTCAGGGTCATCTATGTACTCTCGGTGTTAATTTTTTTTTTTTTTTTTTAACTAAGAAGCTTTGAAAGGATTGCCACCCGTGAAAACAATAAAATGATGACCATATAGCTTTTGCTTCAAATATTCTTCCGCTCGAACGACTGCCGAGGTCTCAAGTTCATAAGAATGATACTTTTATTCCGTGTCAGTTTTCCGGCGACTGAAATATGAAATAACGTGAGGAACTCCGTTCTTTCATTTAATTAAAATGGTACCGTATCCGTTGGCGCTGGCATTCGTGTGTAATTCTATAGGAGGCTCGCGATCAAATATAGTTAGAATAGACTCCGTGGTAAGTATTTGAACTATCCATTTACGGATATTACCGTGGACTTCTGACCGTTTAATTAAACCCTTTAACTTAGTGAGTAGACATAAGGATCGTACTAGGCGGAAATAGTTCGGTATAAAATTTCTAAAACAAAAGGCTTACTATAAGAATTGGTGTTAATCTCCCTAGAGTCAACATACATTATGTCAGAGTTGTCATTCGGTTTTTTTTTTACAATTAGAATGGGGCTTGATAAAGTGTAAAATGATTGTTTCAAAGAGGGCATCCATTTTTTTTTTTTTTTATCGAACAACCTCTTATAATTTGTAAGGTCTCTCTTAGACTATGTTAGGGTCTAAAGAATTAGGGTCTAAAGAGTTAAGAGGTGCCCTTAATAATAAAATGAGTTATACTTCTTAAAAACATCGATAAGGGCTTTGTTATCGTCGCCTTCCAAATAAGTTTTGATACAAGAAAAGTTAAGACTGTCTGAGGTTGGGCACTTATCTGTCTGTTTTTGGGGGTCCCCCCACAGTGTTGACTTCCTCGTAGTGACCCCTGGGCAACGTCGCGCCTGACCACCGTAACGGAGTGGCAGGCCGGCGGCTAACGAACACTGTGCTTCGAAGCTTTAATAGTCTGCGCTTCGAAATCGTAAGGTATCCCATCCCACTTGGTGCGCGGTAACGCAGTGGCCAGTGGTTGGTGATCCTTCGCGTCGATCGTGATCTGTGGTTGGTTGTGAACATGAGTTCCAAACAACCGAGGGCCGCCTCCAGACGGCGCCTCCCAAAAGGCCCTTCTCAGGGCCAACCCCAAGGCCCTTCTCAGGGCCAACCCAAAGGCCCTTCTCAGGGCCACTCACGGGACGCATCAGCGTCTGAGGCTAGCCGCGCACCGTCGGCGGCAAGCCTCCATAGTGTGGGCCAAACCACGGACTACTCGGACACCGAGTCCGTTATGAGCGTGTCAGATTGTGGTTCGATCCGCCGCGAGTCCAGGAAGCGATTCCTGCGACAAAAGTCCGGGGGATCTCCGGACACTGCCAAGACACCCGCAAAACGGGCCATTGTAGAGGCGGATCTAGAGGAAGTGGTTGCCTCTAAGGAGAAGGTCGCGCGGACGACCAGAGCTAAGGCCGGCTACGGCGCAGCTGCCGTCCGCTATGGGGACCACTCCGTAGAGGAGATGGAGCGCATGGCTCTCGAGGACCAGGGGGAAATTATTGAGGTGGCCTCCAAGTCCTCAAACCTAAAGGGGACCTTCCAAAAGGCCCTCAAATGTCGGGCAGCCAGCCTAATGGGCATTGTTAGGGAACTTTCGCAGCGCACTACGTCCAACGAGACGCGGTTACTGCAGGCGAAAGTTGACCGCCTGCAGAAGGAGATGTCTGCGCTGCACGCTCGCATTGCCGAGCTTATGGCCCGGTCTGAAGGGACCTCGGAAGGTCCGGCGGTGGCGGCGGCCCCCTCCAATCTTGAGGACATCATCCGAAAGGTGGTCATGGAGGAGAGGGCCTTTACAAAAGCCTGCTTCGCAGGCATTGAGGACCGGCTGCTGCCGGAAAAGAGGCTCCGCCCTCCACTCGACAGGACCTCTACTGCACCGCCGCCCCAAGAAGCAGCGCCAGCGCAGAAGGAGCAGCCCAAGGCCACGAAGGCAGGCAAAGGGAAGGGGAAGGGAAAGAAGTCCCCTTCGGCCCCTACCTCACAGGCGGGAGCCAGCGCTGCTCCAGCGCCCGCCCAAGCTCCTGTAAGGGAAGATGCCCTGCTGCCTTCTACCACACCCTCCAACGAGCCATGGAAGAAGGTGGTTGGCAAGAAGCAGCGAAAGGGGAAAAAGCCGGTACCTGAGTCCCTGGCAGCCAATAAAGCTCCGGCGGGAAAGAGGAGGAAGCTCGTTCCTCCAAAAACCGCGGCCGTAGTGGTGACCCTCACAGCGGAAGCTGTTACACGTGGGGAGACGTACGAGTCCGTGCTGCGACGGGCTCGTGCAAATATCGACCCCGTGCAACCGGGTGAGGGTAGGGTCACGTGCCGACGGACTCAAACCGGGGCCCGAATTTTCGAGTTTTCGGGGGCTCAGGGCAGCGCCAAGGCCGACACCTTTGCCAACCAACTGAAGGAGGCAATCGCAGACACGGCCAAAGTCGCAAGGCCAGTGAAGTGCGTAACTCTAGAGGTGACCGATCTCGACGATTCGGTCACCCAAGAGGAGGTCGTGGCAGCAGTCGCGGCGTTGGGGAGCTGCGACATCGCAGCAATTAAGGGCCGCGCCATAAGACCTGGCCGTGGGGGCATGGGCAGCTTGCGACTGGAGTGCCCAGTCGTGGCTGCAAAGGCTATCCTGGCGAAAGGACGCCTCCCGGTTGGTTTCAGCTCTGCTGGTGTCCGGGCTCTTGAGGACGAGCCGATGCGATGCTACAAGTGCTTCGGCATCGGTCACACCCGGGCCCTCTGTCCGTGCGATGCGGAGCGCCCAGACCTGTGCTTCCGCTGCGGCAAGGGGGGGCACAAGTCCACCGCCTGTGAGGCCACCAAGCCACACTGCGCCGTGTGCGCTGACAGTGGTCGTCCAGCCGACCACATTATGGCGGGTAGGAAATGCCGTCCTCCCCTAAAGAAAGGAAAAGCGCAGGTGACTACACGGCCTGCTGCTGCCGCCGCCACTGCGATCCCAGTCCCAGTGCCGGCCACCGAAGGGAATGCAATGAATACCGACTAATGGCCGGGCCCTATCGCATTCTCCAGGCGAACATCAACCACTGCAAAGCGGCCCAGGACCTGCTGGTCCAAACCTTTGCAGAGTGGTTGGTGGACGTGGCGGTTGTTGCCGAGCCGTACTCAGTCCCTGGCAGATGGCTGGGAGACGAGAATGGCTCGGTGGCGTTGGTTGCGCGGTCTTCCACAGACTCCCCCCCCATCTCGCTCTTAGAGAAGGGGCCGGGATATGTGGCTGCCGCATGGGGAGATATAGCCCTAATAGGGGTTTATTTCTCCCCCAACCGCCCTCTTACGGACTTCGAGAATTTCCTCGGAGTCCTCGCCATGGTGGCCGACAGAGCAGCGCAACGCCGGGTCTTGGTGGTGGGCGACTTCAACGCCAAGTCGGTGGCGTGGGGTAGCCCACGCACGGACGCACGGGGACGCGAGGTGGAATCGTGGTCGGTGGCGTCAGGTCTGTCCCTCCTAAATAGAGGGACAGTACACACCTGCGTGCGGCGAGAGGGGGGCTCCATAGTGGACCTCGCCTTCGCCACCCCTTCCTTGGCTGCCTGTGTCGTGGACTGGCGGGTGGAGCTGACGGAGACTCTATCGGACCACCGATATGTACGGTTCGATATCTCCGACCAGGGCTCCCAAGGTAGGAACCGTTCGAGGGGCCAGTCACCCTTCCCGCGGTGGGCGCTCACCCGCCTGGACCAGAGGGCCGCCAAAGAGGCGGCCTTCGTCCAGGACTGGCTCACGCCGCCCGTCAACGTCCAGGACGTGGACGCCGCGGCAGCCCAACTGAGGGTATCCTTGACCGAGGTATGCAATGCCAGCATGCCTCGGTCCCACCGTCCGCCTCCTCGCCGCGCTGTGTACTGGTGGTCGGAAGAGTTGGCAGCCCTTCGGTCTACCTGTGTGGCGGCCAGGCGAGAGTACACAAGGAGCCGTCGGCGGCGCTCCCGCGATCTCGCCATGGAGGATCGCCTCTACGCATCATACGTAGAGGCGAAAAACGCGTTTAAGGTGAGACTCGCCGCCGCCCGAGACCATGCGAGATCGCAAATGTTGGAGGGTCTCGACAACGATCCTTTTGGGAGACCGTTCCAAGCGGCACGGAACAAGCTGCGCCCGTACGGTCCCCCAGTTGCCGAGACCCTCGAGCCGACGCTGCTGGATGGGGTGGTACAGTCCCTGTTTCCCCGCAGGGACAGGTTCACCCCTCCGACAATGAACCCGCCGCGCGGTGTGGCCCCAACGGTGGAAGAGGTGCCCCCTGTTACGGAGGAGGAGTTGGAGGAGGCGATCGCCTGCCTCCGCAAGAAGAAGACGGCCCCAGGGCCGGACGGCATCCCTGCGAGGGTGGTGGCCATCGCCGTTTCCCAGATGGGCTCCAGGTTTCGGGACCTTTTCGGAGCGTGTCTGGCGTCCAAAAGGTTCCCGAAGGTATGGAAGGAGGGACAATTGTGCCTTCTACGAAAGGAGGGTCGGCCAGTGGACTCCCCCTCGGCTTACCGACCCATCGTGTTACTCGATGAGGTCGGTAAAATGTTCGAGAGGATGCTGGCCACCCGCCTCAAGGAACATCTGGGCACAATTGGCCCAGACCTGTCTGACGCTCAGTTTGGCTTTCGGGCTGAGCGTTCGACATTGGACGCCCTGTCCCGTCTGAGGGATCAGGTGAGCGAGGCGATGGAAGCGGGAGATGGAGTGTTGGCCGTGTCCTTTGACATAGCCAACGCTTTTAACTCCATCCCCCACTCCACCATCCTAGAGGCACTTCATTATCATGGAGTGCCTTCATACTTGCGGGTCCTCCTAGCAAACTATTTGGAGGACCGTTCGGTCCTCGTCGCAAATAGGGCGGGCCAACTGCGGCGGTACAGCGTCGAGTCCGGTGTCCCACAGGGTTCTGTTCTAGGACCGCTCCTGTGGAACATCGGATTCGACTGGCTCCTGCGAGGAAACCTCCCCCGAGGCACGTCTATCATCTGCTATGCAGATGACACCCTCCTGACTGCTCGGGGGAGAAAATTCGAGTCGGCGGCCAGCCTGGCCTCGGCGGGAGGATCCTTGGTAGCTGACAGGATCTCCCGCCTGGGGCTGACGGTGGCGTTGTCTAAGACAGAGGCCGTCTTCTTCCATAGGTCTCGGCAACGCCAACCGCCCGACGCTCACCTATTTGTGGGGGGCGTCCGCATCGGGGTACAGGCCCAGATGAAATATTTGGGCCTGATACTCGACAGTAGGTGGCGCTTCGGCCCTCATTTTAGTGGGCTGTCGACGCGCCTGTTGAAGACCGCGGGGGCCCTATCTTGGCTCCTCCCAAATCTTGGGAGACCCGGGAATCGATGCCGGCGATTATATGCCGGCATACTTAGAAGTATGGCCCTTTACGGGGCCCCAATCTGGGCGGACTCCCTCCATAGGAGGGAAAACGCAGCCGCTTTCCGGAGGCCCCAAAGGGCTATTGCGCAGAGGGTGGCGAGGGCTTACCGCACGGTAAGCCTCGCGGCAGCGTGCGTTCTGGCTGGCACCCCTCCTTGGGAGCTCGAGGCGTGGGTGCTCGCCAGAGTCTACGAATGGAGAGTGGAGCAGCGGGCGCTTGGCCAGCGCCCCAGCGTCGCTGAGAGGGGAGCCGTTCGTGAGGAGGCGAGGGACGCGGTCGTCCAACACTGGACAGAGGACCTCGCCACCTCAACGTTCGGTCGAAGGACGCTGGACGCGATTGGGCCCGTCCTCAAAGACTGGCTCAGTCGGTCACATGGCTCCCTCTCGTTTCGTCTGGTGCAGGTGCTGTCCGGGCACGGCTGCTTCGGATCGTACCTGCGCCGGATCGGGAGAGAGGAGTCCCCGTCGTGCCACCAGTGTGGAGATGCGGAGGACACGGCAGAGCACACCATGGAGGTGTGCCCATCGTGGGCCGTGCCCCGTCGTGCACTGGTGGCAGTGATTGGCCGCGACCTCTCGCTCCCTCGTGTGGTCACCGCCATGCTGGGGAGTGAGGAGGCGTGGACCGCAGTTGCCTCCTTCTGCGAAGACGTAATGTCACAGAAGGAGGCGGCGGAGCGAGAGCGCGAGAGAGCTTCAGAGCACCGCAGAAGAAGGAGGGGCGGAAGGCGGCGCACACAGCGTCCACTTTCATCCGCCCCTGCGACGGCCAGAGATGGCCGTGCGCTCCGGCCACAACAGAGTCCTCCCCCACAAGGGGGGGCGTGAGGGGTCTGCCAGAAGGCGGGCAATCGCAGGCGGGGGGCTGGATGCAACCGGATTCCCAGCCCCCTGTCAGTCAGGCGAGGTCGGAGCGCCACTGGGTTGTTTTAGTGGGTATACCGGGAATCCTTTTCCCGGGGAGTCCCACATACCCCTCCCCGTCTCCCGACGGAGAGGGGATGCGTAAAGCATTTTTATCCCAGTGCGCACAAAAAAAAAAAAAAAAAAAAAAAAAAAAAAAAAAAAAAAAAAAAAAAAAAAAAACTTATCTGTTTTTGTCGTTTCAGGTTTTGAGAAAATAATGTAGTCACTGTTTATCTCTCCTTTAACCCCCCACTCTACAAGGTCCCGTCCAACAACCACGGATTCAAAAATAATATTCTCTTTAATAATATGTAACAAAAGAGACACTGAAACACTTTGAATTATGACCGGGCTTAAAATTTGTGTATTACAATAAGTCTCCGATGCCTTTCAGGGGAACTACTTCATTGCTCAAAGTACACAGAAATTTATTTGAAAAATTTTCTGATACAGACACACATTAGTACTACATGAACAAGTACACCCACTACTAAAAAGAAAAGGAACAGTCTCACCAGATGACGTCGTCAACTCCCCTCGGCTCGGCCCATGGTCACACAGATATCTCCTTCACCGGCGAGCCTCAATTACCGGTACCTTTTACGATCAAGACACGACGAGACGTCCTAACCCTTATATCTGCTTCCGTACGATCCAGATTGAACCGGATCAACTACGTCGTCGAAGTTAGTTGAGAAGTTGACATTATTTTCATCGACAAGTTTCTCATTATTTTTTTACAAAGTTTAACATAGATGGATGATCACTACTCTCCTCATTTTAAAGCCCTTTCGATCCCACTTCTGATGTAGGAGGGCGTTATAAGAACAGGAGGGCCTTCATGGGAACTCATACTTTGAAAGGGATAAAGTACAGTCTATTCAATACGACACCAACTCAATCGAAACACTAGATATCACTATCACTTCGATACACAGCGATTCGTCACGAGCGCGGTGCGCGGGCGTCATCTCGCACGATACTCCATAATAAAGATGGCCGCCCTCGCTACCATCGACAATGACGCTTCACTAGGCTAACCTCAGACAGCTAAAAGTCAACCTGACGTATGATTTTTGACGGATGCGCCGTCAAATTTATATGCTCTGTTTATGTTTAATATGCTACTAATTACCTGATCTCAATTTGAATATTCAAAATTAAACAACAATCATTGCTTTAAATTAGACCAATACATTTAAGATACTTAAAGAAATTTTATCAATATTTTTTCGACGTTGTTATTGACAATTAAAAAAACGTTACATTGAAATAAAAGTGAGGGTCCCTTGATCAATTCCGGTATTTAAAATTATAATTATATTTATATGTAAAAGTGCATATTTAGAAATGGTTTAAAATTATAAAGCCGCCAAGTTTGCCACAATTTACTAAATAGTTCCGTACTGCATTTTTACTCTAAGTTTGTTTCGCCACCCTGCACACGAAGAATTAACAGTTTTTCATAAATAAATCTTCGCAAATTTTATTATTAACACAGGTTATTGGATGAGAAAATCGATTTGTTTGATGTGTGATGATGTCAACTTGTGCTAAGCATTCCAAAAATTTGAGACGCCTTTGTAGGAAGTTTGAGTCATTACTCATAGTAAATTAATAAAATGTATAAATATCGTATAGATTTACCAAAAAAATTTGATTTACAACTTTTCTTATCAGTATCCAGAAAAAAATATGTAAAATGAAGAGAAAAATTGGGCCTTGAGAAAGAAGTCGTTTAAGAGAAAGTAGCGGTAAATCTCAAGAAGGTGGTATGATCTCAAGATGCTTCATAAGCTTTGAAATACATTTTTTGCTACGTAAAATACGATGCCCTAATTTGTGCTGTCGGTGATTTAAAACATGAATTACCACTATACTTATGTAGTATAAAAAACTATGTAGATTGAAGCGGTGCACCAATGGAGGGTCCATTTTTTGCGTCACAAGTAAAACCTTTGCTTTAGAGCCTCTGCTGAGGACTTTGCTTTTGATTCAGTCCATTGAATTAAAAAAACTCTCGTAATAGGCAGGGAGTGGATGTCAGAGAAGTCCTTCGGCTCAAGCAGTTGAGCACGGCTTTGTCGTGCCGAAGATACGTGATTTTATTATGCCTCATATAATAGAGGCACTTTGTTTTCACGACTTTACTTTTCGGCTGTACACGGCTGAAGGTCGACACAGATGTACACGGCCGTGACTCATTTTTCATATGACTTGGAAAAATCACATTGGTACTTGCCAGGATCAAACCCGCGCCCTCGTGTACGAGAGGCGGGCATTTAACTACTAGGCCTCCACACAGATTGGTGTGACATTGATACTTTTGTTATTGTTTACTTAGAACCTTTTTTTTTTTTTTTTTTTTTTTTTTTTCTACGAGGGGAATCTTTTAAAGACTTCCTGCCGCGGGGGAAACGCGACAGGGGCATGTGGGATTTCCACCCACTAAACCACCTCGACGTTCTCTGCGCTGTGCGTAGACTAGTGAGCGGGAACGGCAAGCCATACTTCCGCTCACTACGCACGAGTCCCGAAAGGGACTCCGCCATCGGCAGGGGTATCAGTGGCTGACCACACCACCCCTCCGACTCAAGAGCAGCGTGCCGGGAACGCCAAACACGCCGCTCTTCCTCTAGCCTATGTTACCCGGACGCCGGTTCCCCACCGACGCCCGGAGGCTTCCTCACTGGGGAGGCAGGTCGCGAGCATAAGCCCGCTGCCTTCGACCCAGCCTTCGTCGGCGCAGCGGCGCCGAGGAGGGGTCGTCTTCCCTCACTCGTTCAGCAGCCTCCTTCTGCAAGATGACTCTCTCGCTGAAGTCGGCCACCGCCTGCCATGCCCTCTCGCTGCCGACCATGGCCTGGACCACTGCCGGCAACGAAAGGTCTGCGCCAACCACGCGGATGAGTTGGCTCCGCTCGGATATCCACGCTGGACATTCCATCAGTGTGTGGTCAGCGGTGTCTTCCACGCGACTGCAGTGGTGACACGTCGCTGTCGGCTCTCTCCCGACTATATGGCACAAATACCTCCCGAAGCAACCGTGCCCCGAGAGGATCTGCACCAGCCGGAAGGTTAAGGATCCGTGTCGGCGGTCCACCCACTCCATGAGGAGCGGGCGAATAGCCTCCACGGTTCGCAACCCGGCCACTGGCTCAGAGAGCCTTTGCCTCCACCGATGGAACAAGGACGACCGCGCAGATCGTCGCCAACTATCCACCCGATCCCGGTCCGGACTCGTTCCCCGGGATCGATCTCGCTGTTTACTTAGAACCTTAGAAGAACCTTATTAGAACCTGAAGAGGCATTTCCGGTTTAATATTTAAAATAGCTTTCATTTATTTAAAAAATAAAATAAATTATATATATTAATTAAAAAAAAAAAAAAAAAAAAAAAAAAAAAAAAAAAAAAAACTTTAAGCTGTAATTCTTCATATTACTTTATTTATTTCTTCCATTTACTTTTAGAGGATATTATATTTCGTTTCCTTACTAAAACATTACAGAATCCATAAGAACTTAAATTAAAAAAAGATATATATAATTAGTATTAGAAATTATGAAGCAGTGAAACCTATCAAATAAAGTGAACTTAACTTGCTATGTTCATAATATTGTTTACAGAGAAAAAGTCACAGGAAGGGGAAATAACGTAAACTTATGAACTTTAATTTAGTGAGCTTTTATAATTAGACCCTGTTTACTGTTAGCTTCCCAAGAAATGTTTTATACACCATTACACAAGTACGACAGGGTTGCCCAGTGAAGTGATATCGTAGAATATTAACAGTTTATCAGAAGTCATACAGCAACACCAAAAAGTAGTTGAAAAGATTTAAACTCCACAACAAGTACAGTTTCTTTAAAATTGTCAAAAAAACTAAAGACAAAAATTATCCAGTCCAAGCCAAGCTTTAACCGCACACATGCATGGTATTAAAATTTGATCTGCATCCCAAGATCTCATTCTAAATACCTTCATAATCATAGATAAACAATTGTGTGAATTTTTTTATAATTAAATTGTCAAGGAGAATACCATATACCTTTTCGATGTCAATATGTACTACTATACCATTTATTTTTAAATTTTTAACATAACCTGAAATTATAGGATCTCATATTTAATAATTATTATTATTAATGAAAATAATATTAAGATGGAGAAAAATTTAGTGGTTTAAGTAATATATAATATGTTGCAAGTATAACTAAATTATTTATTACATATCAGAATATGAGAGGTGATACTCCGCTTTAATACATTGTTTCTACTTGATGGAAATGCATTAAATCCATTTACCATAGTGTTCTTCAAAGTTAAAACCACGTCAGGAGAGAAAAATGCTTCAAATGTAAAATATTTAAAACTTGCCGCTAATAGTAGTAGGGAGGTATTATTTTTTTCCAAATTTGCATTTCATTGCATTTGGTTTAAATTATAAAATAAAACTGAAGCCTTAATAATATTTATTTAATTCTGCATAAATTATAAAATTAACAAAAAAAAAGACTAAAGTGGAAAAAGAAAAGGAATAATAAATAAAAAAGTAAAATAATTAAAAAAGAGAAAGAAAGAAAAAATATCATGTACGTTTTATTACTGTCAAGCAATTTAGGACCATAACAATCGGAAATCACATTTTTTTATATAAATTTTGATATTTATGTATATATGTAAATGCAATAAAGGACAGACAAATAGAAACGCTAAAAATTGCAAAATTCACCAATTCAGTATGAATCAAGATTAAACATATCGAAAAAATCTAGGATAGAAAAAATATGACAAAAGATAGTAAAACGGAAAAATTAAAAAAGGACAAAATCTGGGGTTGTCCTAATTGAATAGAAATAAATATTTATAAATGTAAGTTTTAAATATATTAAAGGCACATCACACCTCGTCATGGAATATGAAAGAAATTTGATGGAAGCAATCTGATTATATTTGAGATTTATGCTATTTCGTTTTATATTACCCACTTTTATAGGCATAGGCATACACAAGGTAATAATCTCATTTTGTTGCAGTTTAGTAGCTTAAAATAACAACACTTGTAAATAATCAATATATCCATAGTGATTTAAAAAAAGTACGAAATAAGTGAATATGTATTATAATACTCTGCTTCTTTATATTCATCTATATAAATTGCATTTCGTTTTTGTTAAGTTTTGTTGCAAGTTAAGTTGTTCTCGTTTTCTATAATTTTTGTTTAGAAAGAGATATATGTAAAAGCTTCCCGTGATTTTTTTTAAATTAGTATGAAGGTTAAATAAAATAATCTTTTTTCTAACATATAATGGAGTTCTATATATATTATATTTTGATCGCAATTGTCCCGTTAAAAATAGTTGATTTGTTAAAATGTCAAATTTAAAGTTTTCAATAGTAATAAATTTTAAAAGAGTACAAAGATTATATTTGGTGACAACCGTGACTCATTTTGGACTTAAATAATTATTATATTTTATCTTATATATTTAAATGAGGAATTCTTGTATATACATATATAGATAATTGGAATCTCGGAATCGGCTCCAACGATTTTCATGAAATTTAGTATGTAGGGGGTTTCGGGGGTGATAAATCGATCTAGTTAGAAATAATTTTAGAAAACGTCATTTTATGAAAAATGAAAAAACAAAAAAAACAAAAAGGAGGCGTTTAAAATATGTCTCTTCCTGATATGTATTGCTGAATAGTAATACTACTTTTGCTAATACTTTTTAATAATTGTTAAACCCTTAACCACCTACCTGCGGTCTCAGAGACCGCAACGATTTTTCAAATTCAAATATTTCCGCGTGTGAGTGTTGTTCGTGTACCTTTTCAACACACCGCTCACGGTGTCGCCAGCGCTCGGCAAGTGTGTACGTGGTCGCGTTTGGCTAGGGTAAACAAAATAAATTCGACAGCGGTCTCCATGACCGCACGTAGGTTGTAGTGTGACATGACGGCGGTTGATTGACTTTTTTTTATAATTATTTATTAGTCTTGTTTTAGAGTCAAACAGGACTAGTCATGTATACTAGTCATAATAGTCATATTGTTTTGTGTCTTCTTAACGTGTTCACTTAAAAATGCCTAAACGAAAAAAAAATACACAAAATAAATACTAAAAATCCTAAATACCGAGCAAAGTCGATAGCTAGATACCAGATATTTTTATTGATTAACGAAAGAGCCGTTATTATATCTAGTAAATAATTGTTTACCAAATTTTGACTTCAATATACTTCTAATGATTCTAATCTTATATTTTTTTCTTCTGATCTTATAACAAAACATTTTCTTTACTTATATAATTAAGTAGAAAATCAAGTAACTAAAATGGTATAACTTTATTTACAACCTTTATTGAATTAATCGTTTCAATATGAGGTTTACTTTGCTATTTCGAGATTACTAAAAGTTTTAATTAGTTATGCTAAACTCTTATGTTATTAAAATATTAAGTAATTTAAACACAAAATTTGTAGATACTTGTAACTAAGTTCCAAGTTAACATTGAACAAGCCTAAGTTGAGAATTCTTGTAAGAGATAGAAAGGTGCACTATTAATTAGCACTTCTGTAATTTACAACTAGAAACAAAAGATTAATTTAAATACTTACTTTTTTGCTCCAGGCAAAGATAAAGACGAATTATTATTAGTTATGTATGTATAAGAACTTAATTCTGTTGGCAATACATCATTACATTATAAGTTTTGTAAGAACTTAGACAGATGCGAATATAATCCAATTAAGTTTAAACAAGGCAGAACGATTAGGGTTAATTATATTAAGGGCAACAAAGTTAGATATGTGTGAAAATATTTCTATAAATATCTTTTAACTTATGTTATACTAAAAAATAAATTTTAAATAATCATGTCACTTTCGTCCACTTTAGGCAACTAACACTATCGGCGAGTCGCTGCGCGTCAGCCGTCGAAGGCGGACGTGTTGTTCGATCGCGTCCGTGATTAATGTTCGTAACATTCAAGGTTATTTGTCTGTGTTTTTAATAAACGCTCTGACTGTGTTTGTGTTGTATGCCCAAGGTCAACTGTTTAGACTTTGATGCCTGTGACGGGCGGAGTTGATGTGGTGACTGAAATGGACAGTGATGGGGCTTTACCCGCAAAGATTGTGGGTGGCTCCATGTTGGACAAAGGCTATGGAATAAAGGATTGCCGAGTACGTTTG